TACTCCTATGGCGTAAGGATAGGAATTTGCATTTAGAAATATTGGACTCAATGTCGTTCTTCTTAGACCATTAATAGGCTGCATCTTCGAGTCATCGGGTTCTGGTACTGTATTCCAGATTTAGTTTTTGTCTGCAAACAGTATTGCTTTTGACCTTAACATATTCGATCGATCATTTCTGAATGCGAGGAAAGATCACGTACCAAGTACAGACCCCATGTGGAACACCGCCGGTAACAATGACAGAATCGATTATGGGATCATAAACACGAAGTGATATGATCCGTTGTCGGAGTGATGCTCTTGTACTTGTAGAACTTCTGTAACAAAAATTTGGTGATTGATTCAATCAAATGCTTTTGAGAAATCCAAATAGATCACATCCAACGCATCTCCTTCGTAAACTGTTGCGGTTTAATCATCTCGAACCAGAGGCAAGTTGATGGAGTAGGATCGCTTTTGCCTGAACCCATATTGAACTGTTGAAAGACTGTTGAATATTTCTAGATGTTCCGTCAGAGAATCTGCCACAACTGACTGCATGACTTTCGATAACACCAGTAGGAGGGTTACAGGTCGGTAGTTAGTGGGGTCACTACGACAGCCATCTTTGTATATGGGTGAAATAACTCCTCATCTGCACGATTGTGGAGCGACCAGAAAGCTCTATTAGCTACTCATTCTCGGGAGCGATCGAACTGTTTTGCCGCGGTGACGTTCGGGTCTCCAATTTCCCCAGGAAAATATATATTCCGCTTAGGGGATGGATAAGGAGGAGGGAATGTGAACCGAAAGCTAGCAATCACACAGTACGGGCATTTTGTCTTGATGAATAGTGAGCTTCTCCGTTCTGTGTTTCCTGGTGTGCGGGAGAACAAATTCATCGGATAAAGTGACACAGTCAACTAAAAATGAACTTACGAGCCACATTAGTAACGCACCCGCGACCATACTCATATCGTCCAAATGATGTGCTCCGCTCAAGGCACGAGATTGAATTTTACGAAGCAACTGGTAAATCTGGCCCTCGTGACTATCTGGGTTGTTTTTCGAATCAGACATGGAATAGTTAGCACGGGAAGTGCTGCCACCCTGATGCAGATAAATATACTTGAGTTCCATTTGTTTGACCAGCGTATTGTAGAAGATGACTAGATGGGTGACAAAAAAGTAAAACAATAATGCGCATATCACACGAACTATTCCCTACCGGCAACGTGACACAATGAAAAAGAAAACGTCCTAATTGTATCCACCATGAGTGCTCACATGTTCGCATTTTTGTTACTGTACGCGGTTAAGTGCTGACAAATTTATATGATTTATTGCCTTTAACAGATCAAGTAGAATTGCCGAGTGACAATGCGGAATGTTGTCCATAAATACGTTTGACAATTCCTCTGTGGAATGACATTTTTGACTGCCGCTCGACACCGACAAAAACACATCTGTGAAGAGTTTGATCATCAGATCTACCTCGCAATCATGCNTGTCTTTGAATGCATAGGAATAAATCATCATGATCGTACAACGAAATACAGTGAGACGAACTTCACCGAACGCTGCCAAACTCGCAATGCATATATGGTTAGTGGTAATATTTAAGGTGGACAGGGATTGGAGATATTTTGAGGGATGGGGAAGAAAGTGAACCTGTATGGTCAACACACAGACAGTGCACAATCGAGCTCTGTATACATAGCATTTGAAGAGTTCTAGCCTGATAGGAAATGACAATAAAGTCACTGCTATCAGTTCGTTGCCATGTCCTTCAATGTCTCCAACCAACCAGTTGCGGAGTCTTTCGGACCCCAACCCGGAAGGCGCGTGAAGCTGACTCTATCTAATGACTGCAATTCTAGGAATAAATTCGATAGTTATGATGCTTTGAACCGTTTAACATCTAGCTGCATCAGCGTGGAATGATGCACCGAAAGAATAGAAATGATTGTTGAAAGTATATATATATATAAATATATATATATATATCGCACACGTCTGAGGCCAGACTGTGTGCCAGACAAATCATGGTACAATAATCTTTAAAATAAAGAAAGACGTTCTATGATTGGCATGTGGGCCGAGTACTACCAAGTTGCCCAGGCCAAGGCAGATGAATTTTCTTGAGGAATTAACAACCGGAGCTTTCGACTAACCAAGGCCTGACCCGTAAGGTAGCTAGCTGGTCGGTGTGAAAACCACAATTCATTGGGAGCCGGTGTCCATTACAACGGATGCTACACCCTTAGGACGTGGTCAAACGTCCAAGTTGCCCAATACACCTCGATGCCCAACCAAGTGAGTGACCACTACCACTACCAGGTGTGAGTGTGGTTTGTACGCCTCCTCTTGGTTGGTTTGGAATTAGGGTTTTTAGCCCACTCCCCTAGGTGAACTACCAGTGGTTCCCCAACCACGTTATAGCTCCGGATGTCGGCTATTCGTCCTCTCACTTTGATGGGAAAACATCTCCGCCAGGAGGAGGCAGTTAGGAGCGTTTTCTCAGCAGAAGCCTTTTGAGACGCTTGGTCGTATAGGAGTGTTTTGCGAGGTGCAAGGGGCAGGGTAACCGCTCAAAACTATAAACACCCACCACCGAGAATAGTTAGGCTTTAAAGATACTGAGCGAAGGCCAGTTTTTCCAAAAACAGAAGATAATATTAGGTGTGGAGGCTGAAACTACATCCTTTCCTATAAAGCTTTAGCCAAAGCCCGCACGCCTTTAGCCTCGATCCACAATCCTTTAGCAAACCACGAAATGCTTTAGACAAAACCCACAATCATTAAACTTTGACCCACATTCATTTAGCCAAAATCCGTAATACTTTAGCCACGACCCTATAGTCCTTTAGTCTTGACGCACAAACTTTATTCATACCGCTGTAATTGAGTCAGATCAAAACGTATCCAAATATTTTAAGGTCAACGAATGTTGAAAAAAATTATTTTCTACAAATTTTGATATTGCAAAGCTTGGCTCAGAAATGAGGTATGGCGATCGTACGCTGCGCAGCTGACTGTAACGGCATCAAATGCCGCACCACAAATTGATTGCAGTAGATTTAAACGATGTGCCTGTATCATCAAATCATTTGGTACATCTCGTGCATGCCTTCAGTGTTTTCAGCGAACCAGCTTTTAATGTGCTAAATAATAAGGGAATTAAAGAATTACAAACACCCACCTGTTTGAATCTGCTGAATACCTCTTCCAATGGGTTGAAAAGGGGACAGTACGGTGGAAGAAATCGAATTTGGTGGTTGGCATGCAACTGCGCACCCAAATCTCTCCGATAAACGGGCGCATGGTCAAAGATAAAACAACTGGGAAATCCGGTTGCTCAGTGGCGATTACCGTAGAATAGCTTAATAGAAACCCGTTGGAAACATGCCAAGAAATCTTTGTATGACATTCATAGATCAAGATACCGGCGATAGATGAACATGCTATTATGTTCAAGTTGGGTCCTTTGCTGGATGGGAGGCTTCTAATGGCTTTACAGCCTACTTTGGATCGTCCATAGTTGCGACAGCACCATATGTTGTGATGAGTCTCATCAATATACAGCCTCAGTGTTGCGTTGCCCGATCGATCGGCGACCAGCTGCCAGACTGCTCGCGTCCACCTCATCCCCTATCGGCACAAAGCGAACAAATGTCAGCCAATCAGGCAACGCCACGTCTCTACATCACTCAACAACCTACATAAGGAAACGGACATTCGTAAGCGCTCACCCCAACCTATCGGGGCCTTAAGTAGTTTACCACTACAAGTCCCGGGGCTTAGGTTACCGGTTTCCATCACTGAACAGCAGGGCCTCGTGATTATGGGGTTCCACTCCGTCTGCTGTTCATCACACAAAAGTGTGTAATAAAAAAAAACAGTTACTGCATTGAAAATGTCATCTCATTTTGCAATGAAACGTTTGCAATACCATTGCCACACTCGTCGAACAACTGAACCACGAATCTTGGTTTGCTTACTGTTTTGCTCTGTTGACCACCACACATTGGTGCTCTTTGTTGGACTGATGCTGGTCAAATTACTTCGAATGCACGTTTCCTTTCGATTTCAGCCTTGTTATTTACCACCGTATGGTAGGGTATTACTTCATCATTACAGAACCACTAAAGACAAAAATCCGACTATCTTGTGATATTGCTATTTACCTTGGGGTGCGTATATTCGAACAAAGACCAGCAGAGTACCATAGATAATAATTGCGTAGCAGAACAAGGGTAACATCGTGAAGGATAGTCAATTTTGTAATAGTTCATAGATTAGGAGAAAGCAAAGATCAAACTAAACCACCACCACTATCATTGCTCACTTTCATCTCGCGTGATGAATTTGGACGGACAAGTAAGGTCTATGGTGGGCAATTCATCCCATTGGGCTTCCGAGTAACGTGACATACAGCCCGAGAGAAGGGCATAGTGACGCAGCAATTTGGCCAATGCACGAAGTCGATCAAACGGTTCCGGCCAGAACGTGTCAAACCATTTGGGGTGAATCAAACCCAAACTGCTCTTCGGTATGCCTGCTCCCGTCACGAGGCCCATAAATGAGGCCAAATCGACTTGTTGGGTTTCTGTCTGTGCATTTCATCCGAGGGAGAGGGATAAGAGCAGAAGAACAACCATGAAGTTGAACACAGTTTCGAAATCAAACTGCAATCAGCTGTTTTGTTTATGACATAATCCGTACTATAGGAGCAGTGTATACCGGGGGGAAATAAATACGTGGCGATAGGGACCAGGAAATAAAATTCTGATCAATATCTAGGGATGGGTTTAAAATCCCTAAGAGTAACTGTGAGGTTTTCTTTAGTAACTATCTTAGCGTGATAAACGGCAGACGAGGAAAGCCCCATAGCCACGAGGACCTATTGTTCGGTAATGGAAACCAGTACCCCAAGCCCCGAGACTTGGAGTGGTGAACCACATGAGGCCCGGATAGGTTAGGCAAGGTATAGAACCGGAGGACAGTTGCCACAAACTGCGCGATAGGCGGTATCACGCACCAGAACTCCCGAAGAGCAAATTATCATCCTCGGGGGTTCTGATATCCGTAAAAATGGGGCTCACTTACTCGACGGATACAACACCCATCGAACGTGAAGCCGAAGTGTGCTTTCTCATGAATAATGGTTCAATTCACCACATGTGTCTCGGATTGAACTCATCAGTGTGTTGGCGCGCGCGCACAAACACACACAGACACACTGGAGCTGGTTTTGAGGTCTAACCTGGTTTGTGCTCTCCAATCATTCACCTTTATCCCCAGTTGGAGAATCGGACCAATGTTTCATCACATTCACCTTTTCTACTATACAACCGTCGACTGAATATCCTTCAAGAAGAATGCTAAAAATCTGGCGATTTATGTCTAGAGCGTGATGTACTGGTCAATTAACCATGAAAAACGCTGTGTTCCTCGATGAAGTCAAACGTCAGACTGCCTTAGGCGGCAGGCACACGTCAACAGGGTCCAATGGTTAACAGTCAGCCAATCAATTAAACGAGAGCGAAATACCAACCACATGAGGGACGAGAACAATCAACTTGTATGCTTTGTGTGCCCGTCGGATCTATCGTCATTCTGTCAAACCCCAGTAGACTTCCTCAACTACTCACCCGACACGAATGCACGGGGAAACAAGTAGAAACAACAATGGTACAGTTTGTTCTTGACACAACCGCTCCGACAGATAACACCAATGCACCCACAGCGGTGAAGCCTCTAACACTCATCAGCTTCCCCTAGAAAACAACCTTACGGACGAACCCTTTCTATAATTCACTTTAGGGTCTTGATCGGAACTGGTATATATACCATATACACGATGTCAGATGAGCACCCGATTAACATCCGCCTGGATGGACCTTTAATTTCCTGTCGTTCGTTTGCCATGACAGGGTAGCCTGGAGGTGTTGGATGTCGTCTTAGCGTATCTGCAGATAGTCTACGAAGGTCGAAGGTGACCGGAATAGTGTAGTTTACAGCTTCTGCTATGTGGTGTATCATCCATTGACAGCCATGCCTGTTGGTATCAACATCCTCAGCCGGATCTTGAGTCCGGTGTGGGCCTCGACCGACTGGAGTCTCTCGGTTATCAGATTACCGAGAATCAGTTGTTGGGAGCTAGGTGAACAACGAATTACCTGCCCAAACTTATCCCATTGCGCCGTTTGGGTTACGTCATCATTACCAAGGGCGTTCACAGAATTCACAAAAGACGATAACTCAACTGTTGGCAGGGGACAGTTCAGTTAGATTATACAGCTTCACGGTTTCTTCGTTTGTCACCCGCGAGAGAGCCTATCGTCTTCCGATTACCAAACGCCTCTTCCTAAGTGTAATTCACGTAACTCTAACTATATTTCCCCCAGTAAAAGTTCTCTGGTAGCATCAAATCTCGAATATGGCTTCTGTTCAATCTCAATATTACTCGCCTTTCGGGAACATTGCCCTGTCATGACAAACGAACGACAAGAAACTAAAGGTCCACCCAGACGAGTGTTAATCGGGTCCTCATCTGACATGCATACGAAATACGCTTTGGTACACTGCCCCGAGACGACTGTTACTATCAGAACGAGGGCGCCACAATTTATGGGGTCTGAGCTGAAGATAACTAAAGAATCAAAATAACTGTCTCCATCAGTTACAGATGAGATAGTAATTAAGTTTATGTGTTGACGATTGTCTGGTTTCCGCTATTTCTGTTCCGTTAGATTGACAGAACGACCGAGGTCTTTCCTAGCGCCGAGTGATTTTCACCCTTACAAGTGGGCAAGAAATAGCGGTGAGATGCTGTCCACGACACCATTTAATTCAAGTGTCGATCCGTCGAAACCCGTTACCATCCCGCGCATGGAACTGTAAGCACCAACGCCAACTCAGAAAAGAGATGTTGAGGCAGATGTTGTCGATAAAAACCGTTTGAACTGTGCTTCAGAATAGTCTGTCCACCATTCTACAGTTTGACTGAATGTGCATCAATATACTGTCGGATACCCTAGATACTTTATCCAAGCCTTATTTCCGCGAACTCGTACTCAAAATTTGACGGAATCCACTGCAATTGTTACCAATGGTAGCAGTCCTCTTCAATTTCTTACTGTTTGTTATCCAGATCTAACGGTCAATTCTCAAGCTCTTGATAAGCAGGCATTATACTTGGTTGCAATGTGGTCCCTACCTATTGACCCTTCTTGTTTGGTTGCATGGGCAAGTGTGGGCGTTGTTTCGCGTAGTTCATCAGGTTATGGAAGTACGGAAGCTGTTAAACTATGTCACGATGGAAACTCATCGTGATGGGCTTAAAAACCCTAATTTTTCCATAAGAATAATCACAAGACTTGTCTTCATCTGAGTGACCGCTCCCGTTTACGCATTTTCATGCATCCTTGTGATAAACATATAATGTGACACAGAAAATGCAGAGATGGAAGCTTCACTGTCTAGTCGTGGATAGATTGGAAGTCATAGTGGAAGTTTAGCTGGAGCACGATCAGGTGTGTGTGGGGGGGCACAACACGTTTGCATGTGCATTTGGCTATCGGGGGCTACGATGCTATACCATTACAATTAGTGTACGGGATATGATTAGGTATTTCTATAGTATCCATAACAGTAAAATAAACGGACACTTACTAAGGGAACAGTTTGATCGGATCTTGGCGTAGAACTGACCAGAAGCAGACCAGTATTGACCTCACCGAAACTCGAACCACCGTGGCCACCCTGATCGCTCATACCGTGATCCCCGGTCAACACAAACAGCCACGAATCGCCCTTCGATGATTTTATCTCGTTCTGATCAATGATGCACCGAGAGAGAGAGGGGAGGAAGGGAGAGAAGGTAAATGAACCTAAGTGCGGTAATCAACAAGCAATCTATACCAATCCCATGGGGAACGGTTGAACTTGGCTCACGCATTGCAAAACAGATGAATCCCGTTCTCGACTGGACAGTATGGTTCACATTTATGTGGTCCCAGTACACTGGAATCTTTGAGATCTTAAAACGGTCATATTCTAAAAGGCCTAATTTGATGTCTTTTTTATTCAAAAACTGATGCAGATACCAAAAATCAGTACATACTGCTTAGCAGCTTGAAACCAGCTGTGCTAAATCTGATATTTTGACTTGGGTCTTTTAGAATGCAATTATTTTAGGGCCTCGGAGGAAATGATACATAGATAAAATGAAGCAATGGCGGTGTCTTTCAGAAACGGTTGCACTATTGGCAATCATAATATATCGGCATAATATTGAGTGGTATATTCCGATGAGAAAGAATTAGTGCCATTCAAGTGTAACAATACAGTCTGTCACCAAGGGCTTCAATTGTGATGCACAGAAAGTTTAAATAGTTAGTAAAAAGTGTGTAATGAACAGCTGAAAGAGTAAACCGTGTACCAAGAAGGTTTCACTGTTTAATTGAGCAAATGAAGTAAAGGAGCATTTCGGATTCAGTCATGAGAACCAGCGACCTGAAATTTTGAACTGGGGGTAAAGAATCCGTTAGTGCGGTAATGCCCCCGGTCTACCAGTAAAGTGGAGAGCTGAGGGGACACAAATCGAACCCCTGACAACGATATCAACGTGTGGATGACTGTCACGATAAGCTGATGCAGTTAGTGTTACAGTTGTTACAAAACGGAACAAGAAACCATTCTCTAACAAGAGGTTCACTATGTGAGGTCAATCTCAGTGGTTTTAGTATTGTCTGAAATCGCAATTGAAGTTATGCATAACAGCAATAAATTAGTTAAATTTTCCCACAGTCCGAAAACAACACAACAGTTTCATACAACTGTCTCTGATCTGATTTTTTCCAGAGGACACTGTTCTTAAACAGAATTGCAACCCTTCATTTGGAAAACACATATCAGTGAAAATACTGCACCGAGGAAGAACATCTTATGTGCGTGCACGTGGCTGAAAGTACAATGTTCGTATGAAGCATATCCCCGATCAAGTCTGTATGTCCCACTGTTGCCTGACCTAACACCACGCTTATCTCAGATTTGGCCTAAAGTTGGTTGCCGCTTGAAAATCCCACAACCAAATAATGGGTGCATGTGGCTATGAGGTTCACCTGGGTAATCAAAAAATATTTTTCACCGTCGTTTGTTATTGATCGACTGTCGGCTGAACGAATATAAACGAAAATGCAACCTGGAGGGGAAGTCAATAGTACACGGTCAAAATACTCCGCGGAATGGAGGGAACTCTTTAATCAACGGAACTTACTTCGATGACGTGGGAGCTGTCACAAACCATGAATAATAAATATCACTATATCAGCTTCTAAATTCACATAAAAATAACGGTGTTGTTTGAAGATACCTAGATTTTTATACAGACTGTGCTCGTGTGTCGTTACACATTAGCAATCAGCCATGAACAGTAATGAAAGCTGCGGGGATTTGTGTAGACATGAATAAACTGGACTGAAAATATCCGAATCTTGATTTCGTTATCGTCCGACACACCCGAGGAAAAGCAAACGAAACTTATTAGGAGTAAACGTAGCTCACGTGTCACTCTAGGTTGGCATGCAATTTATCGAAGACAGGCGGATAACAGAGGAAGGATAAGGTGAACAGTGGTACAACCGATAGGTTAGATAGACAGATAGATAGATAGATAGATAGATAGATAGATAGATAGATAGATAGATAGATAGATAGATAGATAGATAGATAGATAGA